GTTTCCCTTCCATCAATGCAGCGTATATGTAGAACAAACAGACCCGGATGTGGACTGCTGACGGGGTTTGCGATGAGGAGCGACGCCGAAGGGTTGTTTGTGGGTTCCTCTTTCCGCAACACACATCGGCACATCATCATCAAAAAGAAAAGCCGGCTGCCTTATGTCGTCGGTCTCGGGCACCGCACCCGTGCTGCCACAAAGCACAATGTGCTGCCACAAAGCACCACTAGCGATTTCGCGCGGAGGGCGTAGTGAAGTGCTGGGGCGCTCACTGTGTGTTATTCGGGTGGGGATCCATCAGTGGTAAGCGGCTTTAGTCACAGATCCAAGCTCAGACGTCACACCAACACCACAAACACGCTCACTTCGCCGCTGCTGTAGATGGGCCTCCGGGGGCCCATGCTACGTCGAAGCACAGACCCGATCTCGGCACTCACGGGCTGCCACGCGCCCGCGCGCGGCGCGGGCCGCACCGCCCATGCCCCCGGGTCACCAACCCCGCCTCTCGGCCCTCTCGGCCCTCAGGAGCGTGCGGGAGACCGGCGAGGGGCGCGCCGCGCGCCGCCTGCAGAGCCGCCAGAGGCATTGTGTCGCCTCCGCTGGCGGGGTTCCCGCGCGCCCGCCCGCGCCCGCGCCCGCCCACGCCGCGCCCGCGGGCTCCGGATGCGCCGCGCTCCTTCTCCTTCTTCTCGATGGCAGTCCGCGCGTGCTTTTGTCGACGGGTCGGCGGCGTGGTCGAGGGGAAGGTCGCCGGCGGCCGCAACTCTGCCGCCGTCGCTCCGCCGGCTCTGACCGAGTATCGGGCGTTGAGGGCGGCGGCGCAAAGCGGGTCTGGCGCATCCATCGCCACGAGCCTCGCGGCCGCGGTCGTGGCACACCTGGTGGCGGCTCTCGAGGCCGTCTCTACGGCGCTCGACACCGTGTGAGGTCGCCGGCGGCCGCACCTCTGCCGCCATCGCTCCGCAGGCTCTAACCGAGTATCGGGCGTTGAGGGCGGCGGCGCAAAGCGGGTCTGGTGCGCCACGGCCACCACCCTTGCCACCGCCCTTGCCGCCGCCCTTGCCACCCTTTGCCGCCTTGCCTCCGCCGCGGGCGGCGGTGGGAGCGGCCTGCTGGGCTAGCATGTTGTCCGTGGCTGTGGACGGGCACGTGGAACGTCAATTCATGTTCGAACGGCCTCCGGGATTCAAACGAAAAATAGCCGGGGCCCTCTCGCAACCCATCCGACCCCCCGGGACCCGTGGGCGTCGAAGAGGCGCTCTCGGGGGGCCGTTCTGAGTTCATGCTACCACGAAGCACACTGTGCTGCGTCAAAGCACCGGCCCCGAGTCCGCCAGCCAGCTCTTCCCAGCTCTTCACAACGAAACCTTGTTCTTCACGCGAGCCG